TTGTTGTTATGTGCTGTCAAGTCAGACCCAACTCATAGCGACCCCTCCTTGGGTTTCCGAGGCAGTATCACTACGGAACTAGATTGCCCAACTTCCCTTCCGAGGAGTGGCTGGGGGGTTTGAACCACCAGCCTTCTGGTTAGCAGTCAAGTGCTTTAGGCACTATGCTACCAGATACATATACATATATATATATATATATGGCCCAGGGCTTGCTTCTGGCTTCAATGTTATCCCTCAAACTTCTCCTCTGTCTTGGTCTCTTTCTTCCCCTGCTCCTAAAGTCCCTCTCCGTAGTCCCAGAGACTTCATCATGGAAACTGTATCAATGAAGAAACTACCTGCCTTTCCACTCTCCAGAGCCTTAGTCATATGGTTGCCCATCTCTATCATCCCTGAAGTTGGAAAATTCCTCTGCTATCAACCAAATTTTGACAATAAAACTTAAATTAAAAATTTTCACAATAATAATTTTTCAGGAAAAAATCTGAAAGCATAGAAGTAGGTCTTTCAGAAAATATAAATTCTAATTTGTAGTCTAATACAAAGGCAGAATGGATTGGGATGTAGGATGGGAGTTCATAAAAGCTAACTAAGAAAAGAGGTCAGTAATAAGAAGTTATTCTAGTACCAAATGCTGCAGAGAAGCCTGGAGAAGTGAGGGCTGATTTAAAAAAAAAAAAAAAAAAGGATTGATAATAAGTGATTCACTTTTAAGCAAAAGCAGAGAGTAGCAAATGTGGAATAAGGCACAATGAGGAATTGGTGTTTGAAAGCATCCTAAATGAAGCTAGATCAGAAAAAAACGAAGCAATATCAAGCCCCAGGGCCAGGACTAGGATGAGGCCAGGGAAGCACTTGCTCGACCTGAGAGTGAGTGCTCCCTGAAATTTTGCACCTCCTGCCTCACTTGTCTCACCCTAGTTCTGACCCTTTGAGGTAGCATTTTTGTTTGTCTGTTGGTTGGTTGATTTTAAGACAGCAGACTCCTACGTACACCTGAAAAGACAGGAGAGAGCAAATGAAAACAAAAAGCAAAGATTCTGGAGAGAAAGATGATAAGCCCCTAATTAAGACCTTCAGGGACTGGCAAATGAGTTAAGAAAAAAGGATCAGGAGGGAATAACATGCCCAATATGACAAGTGGATAACCTTGGAGAGCAATTGGAAGACAGGCTTAGGGGTGGGAGGTTGTTGTTGTTGTTGTT